TGTACTATTTTCCCAACATTATTTAAGATTCTAAGGTATTTTTGTTTTCTTTCTTAAGCAAACCATCTACCATATGTTCCTCCCTGAAAGGAGCAATTGTTGACAGATAATTAAGACACTGGTTTGCACTCGGGGATTTTGTTCCTGGGCTTCTTTCAATGCGGCTTTGAGGGCTTTGCTTTTCTAACTTCCTTCTCAGAGAAGAAATGAAAGAGCCACTAAAGTGACCCTTTTCACAACTCTCCCTTCCTTCTTTTCATTGATTCTTGTCAACATCCAACAACAATTGTGGCTTGATGCTGGCCTGCTGTTCTTCTCTCTTGTTTCAGATGTTGTGGGGGAGAGAGGGAGTGTTTTGGGAGCTTTAAATAATTCCAGAGACTTGAACTGATACAGACCTCAAATTTTGGAAGTCTGCTTTCTGCCACATTATGCAGGAAACACTACACACAAAAAAGCTACAAGGTATTTTATTTATTTATTGTGTCAGGAGCAACCAAACAATTGTATTGCATTCTTAACAAACAAACAAACAAAATACAAAGTTTGCAAGCTTGGTAGTTGATTAAAAGTCCTTTGACCAGTAGCTGGCCACTTGGAGTGCCTCTGGTGTTACTATAAGAAGGTCCTCCATTGTGCATGTAGCAGGGCTCAGGTTGCATTTCAGCAGGTGATCTGTAGTTTGCTCTTCTCCACATTTGCATATCGTGGATTCCACCTTGTAGCCCCATTTTTTAAGGTTGGCTCTGCATCTCGTGGTGCCAGAGCGCAGTCTGTTCAGCCCTTCCAAGTCGCCTAGTTTTCTGTGTGCCCAGGAGGGAGTATCTCATTTGGTATCAACCATTGATTGAGGTTCTGGGTTTGAGCCTGCCACTTTTGGACTCTCGCTTGCTGTGGTGTTCCAACAAGTGTCTCTGTAGATCTTAGAAAATTATTTCTTGATTTAAGTTGTTGGCGTGCTGGCTGATACTCAAACAGAGGATGGGCTGGAGATGTCACTGTCTTGGTCCTTTGACTATTGGTTGCTACTTCTCGGCGGATGTCAGGTGGTGCAAT